TGTGTGTGTGTACAGAGAAAGACAGAGCCCCTTCCCAGGTGCCTCACATGAATATGAAACTCTCAAAACGCTGACTACTGAGCCCATAGAGCTGAAGGCAGCATTAGCAAGAGGCTTAAAGTTCTCAACACACCACCAACCACCACCACCACCACCACCACCACCACCACCACCACCACCACCACCAGGCTGCTGGGCCCAGAGAGCTGTCGGGCTTGTCTGTTAAGAACCACACCAAATCAAGAGAGGTCAGAATCAGGTGAGAGGAGGGGGAAACAAAAAGAAAACAAAATAAAAATAAATAAAAATAAATTAAAAAAAAAAAAAACGGAAAATAAAGAAACAAAAACAAAAAAACACCAAAAACAGGTAGAAGAGGATCAACGAAGGTGGAGAAGGGGGAAGAATAAGAAAAACAGAAAATGATCCAAAGGAACAAGAATAACTGGTTGTATGGCCTGCAGGTTGTGGATTAAATTATGATTCAGACTTGATTTTTTGTTGTTTTTTTTAAGATTTGGGGTCTTCCCCTCCCTCACCCCAGAGTGAGAAGGCTGGAAGGAGAGAGTGAGGATGGCATGGAGGGGCGCCCCGAGGCCGGTAGCTGGAGGGTGCAGCAGGTCACAAGGAAGTGAGACAAGAAGAAGTGCCAGGGGTCCGTCCTAGCATGGACCTTCTGGGTCTGGGTTGTCCCGATCGGTGTGTGAACCACGGAGGCTGATTTTTTTGCACCAAAACCAGAGCCTCCCTTTCCTACTTCCTGTCTATGTAAGGGGTCGGAATGAGAACTTCAGAGCCTCTCTTGCTCATCATCGAAGGTTGGGGAAATCAATTCAAGAAACTGAGCCTGTGACCTCTACGCTTCTCCTACTGTGAACCCCAGTCTGAAGGGCTAATACTGGGTAGCAAAGGTGGCCCTGAGATCAACCCCCTGAGATCAACCCCCGTCATGCTATCAAAACAATGCAGATGCGGGGGGTGGGGGTGGGGGGGGAGCTGATCTAAGGAGAACCTAGTCAGGTAGCACCGACTGTAGGACTGGGAACACTCCATCCGCAAACAAGTATGAGCGCCGGCTGGCCTTCCACGCTGGAAAGCAACGAGGCTGCTGCCTGGCTGAGGCAACCACTGTCAGATGTCACTGGCCATCGAAAGGAAGGGGGTGTGATGAGTTCCTCCTTGGGCCTGAGCCCAGGCTGTCTGATCATGCCCCTGTGTGTGGGGGGTGTGGACTCAGCAAGATGGCAGGAGGAGGGATGGAAGGTGGGGTGGGGAGGATAGGAGGGACATGCTTGGTCTTCCCTGACTCCCAGAGGCCAAGACCCTGGGCAGGGGGTCTCAGGGTCTACCCACCCCTCTCTGATGGAAGGAACTCTGGGGGAGTGGGGGACACCTTCAAATTGACACGGTTCCTTTCTCTCCTCTGGGATAGACTGAAATAGAGGGTGGGTTCTACTTCCATCCCAGAAGCCCAAGATCAATACATAAGCCTATCAATCAGAGCTTTAAACCACCTCCGCCTGCAGATCAACACATGCTCAAAACACTAAGATGTCCATGCATTTTAAAATGGGAGAGGGGAGGAGGGAAGGGGAGGAGGGCATAAGCAACATGGAGAAAGCAACAGGGAGAAATGAGAGAGAGAAGAAAGGGAGAGGGAAAGGGGAAAAACAACAGGAAATAAAGAAGGACATCAGGCAGCATTCCATGCTATATTAGGGCAGAAGGAAAAGATGGGAAAAGCAACTTGGTGGGCTCAAAACAGAATCTTGTTAAAAATGTGCTCAAATGTCAAATAATGTGAGAAACAACCCTGTGTAGGGAGCGAGGAGCCGTGACCAGCTAGAGCTAGGAGCGGTTCTGGGGCTCCCCGGCCCTCCGGCCCTCCCTGTGCCACCCGAGTTTCCGTGGGTGGCATGGGGATGCGCAGGGCACGGTGCACATGGGACATGAAGACTATGAATGGGGAGTATCTTAGGAGGTGGCTGAACAAATGGCAGTGAGCACACACACTTCTGACGGGCCGGGAAAATGCCTCGTTTTGCAACTTCTCTTTTTTAAAAAACACATTTTGTCCTAGTAATTTAGCATCAAGCCAGATCCTGGGAAAAGTTGAGGAAAAAAGGGACAAAACCCTTTCTTGTACCCTCCCCGCCTCCATCTCTAATCAAGGAGTGGCCTCTTAAAAATCCATTTTTAGCTTCTTATGGGTTGACTGGGAGAGAAAGAATTCTTC